GAACTGAGAAGTCTCTCTTATGTTACTTACCCAGTATGCTGTCAAAATTGGTCTCCACATATTAGCGCTAAAGCTCACATCTTTGTCCTGAAGTATCGCAACTTTGCCATTCCGAACACTTATCGAGCCGTGCTCCTCTAGTAACTGAGTTGTCTCCCGAAAGTATTCAAAAGTCTGAAAAAAAGAAGAAAAACGAAAGAAGGCTTGAGTTATTAGCAAGCTGGAGTAGAGGCGTTCGAGCCCTTGCCAAATACCAAAGCATCGTCGGTCGTAACGAGTGATACTTTTTCAAAATTAAATTTTCCGTTGTACAAAGTGATTTTGTACTCAGCCTTTATATTCCCTAAGCATAATATGCGGGCTGTTGACAAGACAGCTTCTCTCAATCTTGTCTCGCAATGCATGTGGTGCAGTCCTGTGTCAATGTGGGAACATTTCTCAGGACTGTTTCACGGAAACGCTACAGTGTTCATCAAGTTTTATAAAGCAAGTTGCACGAGATTGCATAGTGTAGCATGAATTAAGTTAATTGTGATGATAACCTCATTAGTTCTTTCCGTGACTTGAGGAACTTCTTTCACCAGCAGCTTGGCCAGGAACTGAAAATCAGCGAACAGTTGAACTAACGAGGAGAGGAAGAAAACAAAGTCAACAACGATGTTGCTTTTGGGCCTCGTCCACGCTACGCCGGAGAGATTTGATAACGGTGTTTTCACTCTGAAAACGCATCAAATCTTTTCACATGTCCACATAACGCCGGGGAATTTGAAAACGCAACAATCACCCGTCAGTTTGGATTTGTGTTTGAGGAAAACTCGGGCAGGAAAATTTAATTAATCACATGATTATTGTGACGTTATCGTTTTCGATAAGCTCCGTTCTTCAAATCTTTTCCGTCCACACTAAAAGGCAAAGCAAGCGTTTTCAAATCCCTCCGGCTTGAAGAGCGTTTTTTTCCTCAAAGCTCCATTCACGTGACGGATTAGTGTGGACGGTAGACCCAAACGTAGAAATAAAGCTGCGTTTTCAAATTTCTCCGGCGTGGTGTAGATGGGGCCTTGGAATTCAACAGTTCTAATGTACATAGAAGAGAAAATTATCAACAAACCCAAATGTTTTTCGGAAGAAGGTTGGTTGTGTGCTGCTAAGGAAAACATTCCAATTCTGAAGAAATCGTACAAGATGACATTCCTCTTGCACGCTAATAGCATGTGCATAGCAGCCTCGTCTTTGATGTTCGTGGCAGGATGGTTGAGATGTGTGCTGTTGTTTGCAGCTTTTCCAGGGGCCGTTTGCTCCCTATTTTCGCTCGCTTTATTGCCTCTGATCTTTACAAGTCCGTTTTCTGTTTTTTCCAAAGACGACTTCAGGAAATTAATGCTTTCACTGACAAGGGCCACATTATTTGAATCTCCTGGAGGTAGAAATTCAGTAGGAAAAAAAATTAGCACAAGAAATGTTACATCCAACCACTAACTCGTGTTTCCGAGAAGTAAAAAAATGTTTCAACGACTTCTTTGTTTCTAATGTTCTCTCTTTGAACAGTACTCTCTTGTTTTCACCTTCCCAGAATACCAAAACGCATTTTTGGTCTTACCAGAGGGATAAGATCAACGAGGGTCAAACAGAACGATCTCGAAAGCGATAATATGTCCAAGGATTACTCTGTTGATCTCGGGACAGAAATGAAGTTCAGAACGGATCAAACTAAATAAAATACATACGCTTAGTATTTGTAAAAAGTAAGTTACTTCTCTTACGTTATTTCCTCCAAGACTTAATGTAAGTTGTTTCTCGTGACTCAGTAAGCCTACAATTCTGGACTGTTGGACCAGATTGTTGTCTATTTTTTCAGACCGTCACCGAGTGCGACACAAAACAAACTTGCAAGGGAAAAAAATGGCAACCCCTTCTCTCTTTCGTCTCGCACCCGACGGACTATGAGAAAAGAAGGAGCTGCTTGTTGTGTAGGAAGTTACACCACAGGAGAGAAACAGAAGAAGGTAGAAGAAGAAGGTAGAAGTAAAATACAAACCTGCAGATTTGATTGGTATACTCCACATGTGACACAGTTCTTTTAGCCATGTGAATTTTTCTACCAGTTCATCTGCAAAGTTTTGCAACAACAAGAAAACAACAGGTATTCCAATCGCGTTCCCAGAGCCAGCCAGAAAATGTTCCGGTTTGATCGTGCGCATGCGTTCAAGTTCAATAATGGTTCTTGAACATGCGCAGCGAGGGTAACTGCTGTAACTAATCCTGGCTCCCTTAACGACTTTTCCCGGAGGTTTCGATTTCTTGGTGCTATAACCAAAAGGATTACGTTCTCTGGAAACGATATTGCAGGCATTCAGGAACACTCCATGAACCAGTCACTTAAGTAATTTAAATCAATTAATATGTTACATTGTAACATTAAATTCAATTAATTTGTTACACTGGCCATTGACTAACAGTGGGATGCCTGATAGAGCGTTTTCACAAGGTGGTCATGTTGGTGTTCCCAAACAAATATGAAACTTTTCTCCTTTGAAAAACGAGCTCAATCAATGCAAAGTTTCTTACTGTTTCCACAGAAATTTTTAATTTGTTACTACACTAGCACCCTCATTCCAACCAAACATACCAAAATGGAGTCCTTGTAAGTTCTGTAGCATTATTGAGGCCACAAGAACACTAGAAGAGCTGATCATTCCTGCTTGAAGATCGCAGAGGACTTTGTAACCAAGGGATTTGACAACCTTTTTCTCTTCATCAGACAAAAAATGAAACAAATGTCTGAAAAAGAAACAAAAAGAAGAGCTTAATTAGAACATGACATTGGTGAAACTTGGAAACAGTCATGAATCTGCATTACAAACAAGGCTATTATTTGAACTTAACTAGACGATATACCTAGAGGCAGCGTGGCTGAGTGATTTAGGGTGCTAGTCTTGTAATCTGGAGGACCCAATTTCAAGCCCTTCCCCCTTAGCACTAACTGGCTTGGTTCTTAGTGGTCCTGAGTTCACTCTTCATTAATGTGCTTTGTAAATAGCCAACTGGTCTGCATCCTTGTAGTTGGAAATAATTTATAATTATTTATTGGAGGTCAAAGGGGTATTGATTTAACCTGCTTTCTCAGCACAGTCATGCACCTGAACATTAATTCGAAACAGAACAACTCGCTGTTTGAGATCATAACAAATGAGTGTCAGAAGATAGCTTCAAATATACTAACAGCATAAACTGTGATTATAAATCAACAGAGGAGCGTTTAAATTATCTGTGACAAGAAAAAAGTGCAACACTGCTTCTTTAAATTAACCTTGGTATAGATGCATTGTGTACTCTGTTGAGCTTTCCTTCTGTGAATCTGCTCAGAGGTATGAGCTCTCCAATATGAACGTGGATACTTCCATAGTCCTCTGTCAGCACAGACCTGCTTTTGATCAAACCCTATCAAGAAAAACAATTAAATCAAACACACTCAAGACCAGTAAGAATTTTAATGTGACAAAAAGGGATGTCACTAATGACTAAGAATTTTAATGGTAGGGCTGTCACTAAGGGCCGAGGGATAGTGTCTGGGGCGATTTCCTTGCATTGAAACAAAAGCTAGCCATTTAGCACTGAAAAAAATACACATCTAGACAAGAAAAATATGGAACATTGCAAGGATATCCCACAAAAAGGGACAGAAACAACCTCTCTTAAGGACAAGCCTCATAAAAATGACATCTTGTCTTGCATGGGTTGAACTCACTTAGAACTATTACATTTCAGGAAAACACACTGGGCTACATTAATCTCTGTACTCACTCTTAGAGATTCCTTTGGTTTGGGTATTCCCAACAGCTCATATGCATAGAGTGATTCTTCTGGTATTCTGTCATAACTAAAAGTGATTGGACAGATCAGGATGTCTGGCACCCGAGCATTGGTGTACAAGTCAAGAACCATGGAAAGGACACCTAATAAACAAAATTTCCAAAGTCAATTGGTGATTCACTGTGAAAATTTACAGTGAGGACAAAACTGGACAGTCATTGTCTTATTCAAATTTCACTTAAGCTTGAGCAGTCTGATCAATATGACTTTGTATAATATATAGATTTAGGCCAGCCTAAAAGCATAGCTCCTGGGCCGGGTTGTTCAGAACCAAATTAAGCTAGCCCAGGAAAAGGTAGAATTTTGATTTGAGTTTTGTAACTTTGTGTTGAGGTTTTCTGTATATTGTTTGGCCTTCTGTTTTGAGTTTTAATAATCACTATTTACACAAAACAAAGCAGCAAAAAACATTTGTATAGAAGAAAAAGTTATGATTCGGTTAACTTTTAATCCTGGGTTAGTGTTAACTGGCTTCCAAACAATCCTGCCCTGTTTTCAACAAGTTAACCTGAGATGAGCCCGCGATCCAATCGAAAACCAGCCCTTGGTCAGCGGTCAACTTTAAAAAAAAACATGTGACCTCGATGAGCTGTAAACTCGAGCCCGCAATATGGTCACCTGATACTGGTCAGCAGATACCTTATTTTGACTGGTGTCAATTGATCGTAACATGGGTGTCCAATATCAAAGAAGTGCACGGTAAACCAAGGCTGCATGTCTCTGTCAACCTATTATTTGGAGTATGGCAGCCACATTGTGTGACTCCGTTGTCGTCGTCATCCTTGCCGTCGTGCATAGGTGGCTGCGAGCAATACCGCTAGCCCTGATAACCATGAGAAAATCAACTCATGGGTTTCTTTTTCTTTCCTATAAAACTATAAAATTTCTTTCTTTATAAGTTACTGGACAATTCCTCACCTCCCCCCATGCCAGAGGGTGGTAAAGGGTATTTTCGTGACCAGTGATCGGCCCTTTTTATTTCCTGTGAAATGTGAAATAGCCATTTTTTTTCCTCGTGAATTGTGATTTCCATAGTCGCAGTGAACCGTGATTTTCCAAAATGTTCTCTTTTATTTTCCGTGAAGTGTGAAATGCCAATGTTGTATTTTTCGTGAATTGTGAAAGGGCTGCTTTATTTTCTATGAAACGTGATCTATACCTCCCCCCCTTTACCACCCTCATGTCAATGTTTGTTATTCTGTTACAAGTTGAGGAACTTTAGAACAGCTACAAGTACAAATGACTACAGTGAATTTAATATGCTAGTGAACTACTATGTTGGATAAGGTTATAAATGAGCAGATTACGCTTTGTACTCTGCATCTGTTCTTTAAGATGCAATTTTAATTAATAAAATGAACACATACCAAGTTTTGGCTGTAGAAACTTTCCAGTTCTACTTCTTGTTCCTTCTAAAAAGAACTCAAGCGGCTGATCACCATTCTGAAGTTGATTCTGAATGTACTCTGTAAACACGACCCAGTATAAGGGGTCAGACATGAAGGAGCGGCGCATGTAAAAGGCTCCACTGTTTCTAAACAAGGTCCGTATAACACGCATGTTCATGAAATCTGCTGCAGCTGCAATAAATGGCAGTGGAATATCCATGGTGAAGCAGATGTATGATACAAGAAGAAAGTCCATGTAACTCCTGTGTGATGGAATAAACACCACAGGGTTGTTCTTTGCAGCATCCCTTAACTGAAAAAAAAAATACAGGGAAAATTAGGGTTACTGTGCATCACTGGAATCACTGTGGAAGGTGCAGTTGCAGCCCAAAGGTTGGTTTGTTGGGCTCTAGATTGCACCTGCCCAAGTCACAGGAGACCTACTATATCTGAAGATGTCGAATAGATCCAAGGGGGTTCCAAATATTTCTGAGCACAATCTAGACATAATCGTTTTCCTGGTCCCAGGATGTGTTTTGCTAAAAATGACTCCATTGCATATATTTCTCCCTTGAAAATCAGAGAATTGGGGACGTATCCCTTCACTTACACTGACTAATTTCTTTTCTTGCATTGAACTGAATTAGTTCCAGTTGCTATATTTTTCAAAATTCTGTTAGTTCAAGTTGTTATAGCGTAGCATTCTCATTAAAACCTGAGGAATTGGTCTGTAGGTGTGAGTGGGAGCAAGATTGGAGTTTTTGACCCAAACTTGGCACAAGTCTCAGGCAAAAGGCATGAGAGTTTGCAGATACTCTTGATCAAGAGGTACATATGTAGTGTTGTATCCTTAGACAAAGCACTGCACTTTTAGTAGCTTGCTCCACTCAAAAGTGTAAATAACTAATTGGCAACCTAAAAATAGTGCTGCATGAGAAGTCCAGGGTTCTCATTAATTTAGGGAGTAGAGGGCTAGATTCATGAAGTACTGATGGCTGACACCAATTCAAGTGCTGAAGGGACAAGCCTCTGGGGAGGTCTGGGGGCATGCTCCACCAGAAAATTTTCAATTGAGAGGCTCTGAAAAGCCATTTCATGCATTCTCTTGAACATATTTGTTACTAGAAAAAAATTCAATTTTGGAAAAGGTCAAAACACCAAGAATGTTAAGGGTTACTTACTGAGATATTTTCAGGTTTTATCTTGCAGCACTAGCATAATTGAAAACGTACGCCACACCCTGACCCCATGCCCCATCTCTAGCTACAGCCTTGACTGTCCTGAGACAAGGACAGTTAAGGTTCGGTCAGGTGCAAAAAAACACCTGTGTTTTTCCTAAAATTTATTACTTTTCACAACTAACCCACATATTATTTCATGAAAATGGGTGGCTCAGAAATTCAAGTAACAGATATTTTAGCCGGTGGTCAGCACTTAAGGTCGTTTGCACTAATTGTTTCTGTACATCCTTACTGTGCACGCAAATTCACATGCTACGTCATGCATGAGAGCGCACGCTAAGTAATAAAATAAGCAAATAAGAACCCCATTTTTTTACACTTCTGACATAACTAACTCATATTATCTTACTGTGGTAAAAGTCTCAGAAAAAAAATCAATGTTGGAAAATTTTCTCACGAACATCCTTAATGAGAACCCTAGGAACCTGTGATAGACAAGCAATGTCAAAATTCCTCACCACAAAGAGCTCTGAAAAAGGTTAATTGTTCCCTGTTCAATAATATTTGCAAGCTTATGCCTTGTAAACTAATACCTATATATTTGCAGTTACAGCTAATTAATACTTACCCTCTCCAGGCCTTCTCTGTTGATGAGAACTTTGCGGAAGAGTGTGCAAAGAATTTTACGAAGCATCAGTGCCATAACTCTGATGCTACTAAGGTTAAAATTATGGCCCATTTCTTCTAAAATTGCTTTCACTTCATCAGTAACGGATTCAACAGTAGCATTTTTTTCTTCAGCAGTCTGCAAATTAATGATGAAATCAGAAGAAATGAAAACTACAGTAACTCATATATAGTATTAAATTTAATTGGCCAGTGATAGTAATTATTTGCCTTTCACTGACTTGGTAATGTGCACACACTCTACTATTTTTGGTTAATATGCCTTGACCTTAAACCAATTATTCTCTAGTCTGGCGGTCCCATTCAGTCAATAAGCTCATAAAATTTGCTAAATTTATGTTCCACACCGCCTCATTAATCATTAGAAATTCATTTAGCACATTTGCAAAGTAAGAAGATGTCAAATTTTATTTCCTACATTAAAAAGATAAAGCCAAGTCCAAGCTATTAAAGTTTTCTATCTATATATAGAAAAAGAAACAGCTGTTTTTGTGTATATTTTTGTGAAAATAATAATATAAAACTCCTTTGCATGATTATAGATATTATTTTACATAGCTACAGGTCAGAAATGAAAACCCTGGTAAATGTTGATAATATTGACTTGATATTATGGGCTTATTACCTTTTCGATAACATGCTGCACACGTCTGGAGTTCAGAACATCGGATTTTATCTGCTGTGGTGTCCTAGTCAGAGCGAATTTGTAGCCTTGAGGGGCATATCGCTTCAAGCTCCACAACAAGTCGCTCCAACCGCCCTCCTGCAACAAATCCAGATCAAACGGCTCCATACTGAAGGTAAACAATCAATTGTCGGTGCTCATAGACTCGTTTATTTCGTACTTTATAGTTAACTTTATTTTGTATCCGGAAATGAGATTTAGTGCTCCATTCTAAGTGCTCCAAGCAGACGTTTGAAGCATGACCTGCAGTTTTGCGCAAGCCTTTTCACGCATTGTGCGTGTGTTGCGGTGACTATTGTTTTCGAAGATGAACCTTGGACTGTGGACTTGGGAACTATGGACTAAAGATCGACTGCACACTTCACCAAGATCAGAAACCCTCTCTCAGTTAGCATTTATAATTTGAGAAACAGATAAGCGTTTTCTGTGAACCTAGTAATAATTTCTGACAATCATATGTGGGCGGGCTGGGGGCTGAGTTAGAGGCGTTGGCCACAGCAGCCGGCAGGCCAGAGGAAGATGAAAATAATTATTCGCTTTCTTCCGGGTAAAAAATTACATCAATAAAAACACATTAAAAAACATCTTAAAAAAAACTTCCGCGGCTCAATTTAAGGAAGTCATTGCAAAGTTTCCATTTGCTAGCAAGTGACGAAAACAACAAGTTTTCAAAGTCGAAAATATACTTGGAAAAAAAAGAAATTCTGGGGCTACTTGAGCTTACTTGAGCTAAACTAGACTATGATTGGCCCCAGAACTACTGCGCGAGGTATTCGCTGCGAGGAGCACTCGAGTTTCATTCTATCATGAAATCTGATTGGCCAAAGAGAAACAAAAGTCATTACGTCACAGAAATCGTTTCCTGGCTCGGGTTCGCAGACGTCAAGTGACAGGCGGAAATACGTCTACGTTCGCAGGCTATCCCCTCCCCTCCCCTGCCAAAGTAACGCTTGGCTAAGCGAAGAAGTTCAGAGGTCTCAGAAGGTCAGCAGTAGCTCGTTGGAATAAATAACATGGCGGACGTGACAGACCACATTGGTCCTTTTGTAAGTTTCAATACGATCACTCGTTTTAGAGGCATTATATCCTGCTTAGTACTCTCAGTAGCATATGTTGGAAGTTTGTATATTTTGAAATCTCCGTATCCCAGGTAAGTAAATGGCGACATTGCGGGAAAAGCTTATCATGAGGACAATAAAATATTCCAACCAGCTGGCTCAATGGAAATCAACCTGTCACGGTTTGTGGGTTTTGTAATCGCAACTGAATGTAAGAATTTATTCTGGCTTTGTTATTACTTGATCACTGAGTGATTGAACTAAATCAAAGTGAGAAATTAGATTACAACAAATATTTATGGTCGGATCGAGTTATACATGTAAGTTTTCGAAAAATCATTTCAGAAATCGATGTGTTCGATTCGGTGGTTTCCAATCGATTTTTTGTTTTGTGAGTTTGATTACATTAAATTAATCGTAGTGAAATCAAACAAAACTCAATGTATGGATTTCATTTGGCTGAAATGCGTATTATTTTCGTTCGATTGACCGTATTACATAATAATACCAATTCATGTAGGTGTTCACATTAAATTTAATTTCATAGTCGGCTTGACACCTCTGGAAAATTTCTATCAATATCATCTACAAATTGTGCACAACTTTGTTCATTCCTGTTGTAGCCTTGAAAAATTGTCATACCAAAACTAGATACATTATTACGAAAATTGCTTACAATGCAGTAAAGATAAATTTTCGGTATGGTGGTATGCAAGTTTAAAAGACGTTTAAAGAGTCCTTTAAAAAAAGTACTATTACAGTACTAGAGCTTTTGACAGCAAGTCCTCTTAAACTCACACTGGTCTGAATATTTGCCATGCAAACACATTTACGTGGACTTAATTACACCTTAAAGTCTTTTGATTGTTCTTATTTATCTTCAGAGATCATCCCAAGACCATCAGGCAGAGATTTAGAAGTGTGTTTGTAATATCTCTTTTGGCTCCTCTGTATGTTTGGCTCTGGGCAGATGGAACATCAGATCGCAATGTACATATATCTTTATTATTATTATTTTTCAAGAGCAAAAAAATAAAAAAAATAAAAAATACTTCCTTGCAAAACTGAGCACTAGAAATGGAAGAGATTGAGAGGAGGAAAAAATTCAGTGCTCTTGATTAGTTAACACGATCTATACAACGGACCAAAAGGTCACTGACGAAATATACTGTCGGGTGTCACCAAACGAGGTTAACATACTGGCGTGTGGTCTCTGGCTTAAGAGCCACATATATGTAGAGTCAACCAGGTCCCAACACAGTGTTCCCATACCACAGAAGACAAAACCAAAACAGACTTTGAGACATTTAAACTGCCTGGTGCAAAACAACAAGATTAATCAACATTGCTATATAACTGTCATGAGTGTTTTTTTAGGTTCTCTCACTCTGGAAATACCTGGGAATTCATCTGGAAAACATACTTATTGCAACTCTATTTCCTTTGATACTGACTGTGGTAAGGCAAAATATATGCATTACAATATTTTAAGACAAAACTTTCTACCGCTTTAGAGAACCTAACTTCTTAGAAAAAATAAAATTGTTTTCAGTTGATTTTGTTGTCATTATTTTCTTTAGATTTTGTTTCTTGGACCAATCACATTATCGTATTTCAGTGGAGAATCTGTAAATGTTAAAGGTAAATTATTGCATAACTGTAACGAATAATTTTTACAGATTTAAGCTGATGTGTTAGTAAACATATATTAAAGAGTCAAATTTCATGGTCTTAGCCAGCTAAGAATACACATTGCAATTAAAAAGTATACAGCAGCATTGATGCATGTAATTTGCAATTGGAGACAACTTTTGTTTTTGTCTTTTTTTGTTCTTGTGCCAGGTTTTTTTGAATACCCAACAAGTTGGGTTAATACCATTAGTTTGCGGAATTATCTTGTGGTAAGGTACAATTTTCATGTTTGTTTCTTTTTTTATCATTAGATTTTGAGAGATTAGTTTCCTTTAAATTGTAATGAAAGGTGCTTTGAAAGTGGGTCAACCCTAAATTGAAATCCTTAGTAGACTTCAAAAAATTACAGGCTCTTGCATAAACGCCTTTGCCACCCTCTATCCAGGAGGGGGATTTAAGTAGTAAAATCCCAACATTTAACCCCTGGAACAGACACTGTTAGTCTCACAGAAGTTAATGACTGTGTTGCTTTTGATCCATTGAATATATTTTTTGCATACAGTACAATGTAAACCAATTTTTTTAAGCCACATTTACAGTTCTCTGGGTTTTTGGTGTATAACTCACGGCTAGGAATTTTGTCACTTAATTGCTATTTTTTTTTTGTACTAGGCTCCCCTGACTGAGGAGTTTGTATACAGAGCTTGCCTGGTGCCGATGCTTGTTCCAGGGTTTGGAAATGTGCTGCCAATATTTATTTGTCCATTGTTCTTTGGAGTAGGTAAAGTATATACCAAGCTCAGGAGAACCCTGACATGTAACAAATTACCACTGGACTCATTATAATGGGGCTTTGTTATACTAGGGTCAGTTTCACGCATTTTACATTTGGCTGAGCTGAACTGGGACTATTGTTCTGTTTTTACTTAAGGGATGTCATTATAAAAGGTGTTCATTATATATAAGGTTTCCACATAAAAAAAAATGTCTCAGAATTCTCTGTGTTGCTCTTTTCAATTACCTTTCTTATGATTCACATATTGTCAGTTCTGAGATTTCCTTCCAACTCTTGAATACCCTTAGAGATAAGGGTTGAAGAATATCTCATCCATAATTCTTGTTTGACCCTTCTGGCCTACAATCTACAAAATGTGATAATTATTATTTTGCTATATTTCATAAAGCCTTCATGTTTTTGTTAACCAGCTCACATTCATCATGTCATTGAAAGATTACAGCTTGGTGAGAATCCTAAAGATGTATGGTTTAGTGCAAGTGAGTAAAGTTATTATTAAATATGGCTAGCTCTGGGAGAGGGACAATGTGAACAGAATCCCTCGCTATGACTGGTTACCTGAGCACGCAAGCTTACCCACTATTTCCTATAAGAGGGAGTGTTTTTTATGTTGTTTACAAATTCTTTTTTTTCCACAATTGCTACTAATCTCGCAATCTGATTGGCTAATTTGCTGTTGTAGATAAGAGTCCAGACAACGCTGCTCGCATCAATGTGTCAAGCAATGCCTTTTTCAGCTAGTGCTCTGAAAAAACCATTTTCTTTGAGGTTGATATTGTGGTAAAAAACAAATTGAATGTGGTTTAGTGTGGTCTGTACTCTTATCAACAATGGTACGCGTCATCACAGTGGTCAAAATTTGTAGTCCACAACATTTTGACCACTGTGATGACGCATATCGTTGCTGGTAAGAGTACAGACCACGCTAAACCACTTTCAATTTGTTAACTTGTTCATTCAAGATGGCTGGATATTGGCGTCATAAATCTTTTTTGTGAGTTTATGGACCTTGACTGCATCTCTGCCATAAACACACTAATTTTCAGCCATCTTGACTGGTTCACATATGGTCAAAAAGCCATATGTACAGTTAAAAGAAACTTAACATCACCTAATATCATCATATCTACAAAGAGTATCCAGTAGATATCTATATCCATTGGACAAGACCTCCATTTTGGTTCGCCACTCATTTGTGCTCTTGATATTAAGTTTTTCAGTTTGGTTACACAACAGTGTTTGGAGGATACACAGCTTTCTTATTTTTAAGAACTGGTGAGTGCTGAGGCCTGTAAATTACAAGTTTTGCAGCGAGTTTCTCAGTTAACCAGTCAAACTGTGTGTCTGTTAGTCTGTGAGCAGACTCTGTAATTGAGGATGACACAAAGAGAAAGCAGGAAGAAAGAGGATAGAAGAGAGAGGAGTGGAGAAAGGCTCTGATGCCTCAATCTCTTCCCCATTTCCCCCCTTGGCCACTTCACTCTCAGACTAGACACTCTAAGGCAATCTCTCACTCTCAAACACTCTCAGCTAGTTACATGTAGTTCCAACTGTCTGTCTGTCTGTCTGTCTGTCTGTCTGTCTGTCTGTCTGTGCCTGCATGCTACTCTGGCCCATCAAACCGTCTGTTAGTCCCTTTCACTAACTGGGATACTTGTATCCATTTGCACTTGAGTGTTGATTGTTTTCTTGTTGTTTAGGTCATCTGATTGGTCCAGTGCTGTGCCACAGTTTTTGTAATTTCATGGGATTTCCTGCTGTTGACCAGGTGCCAGGATCAAAGTATCCACGGCGTAAGTGTCGACTAGCCCCTAACCGTTTAGCCTGTGTATTTCTGTGTATTTCGAACTCGAGTGGATTACGCATGTCGCAAATTGCTGCGCGTATTTATATACTACAAGGTTTCCGCCATCTTGTATTATAAGTCGTGATCGTTTCCACGCCCCTATGTTGCAGACTGCGAGTCAAACCAAGCACTGCAAGCGCGAGATTTGAGAGGAAAACCTCAAAGCCGCAATTGCGAGTTTCATGGGCGTGCCACAAAGTTCGCGTTCGCTTCACGTGACGTTGGATAGCAAGAATCGGAATGAGAATGTGCAGATGTTATACGAGTGAAGGAAGTGAAAAGCAAAGATTCCTCTTTTTAGAACTTCCGTATTTCAATTTAAAGTGGAATGATACAAGCTGGAAATCAGAGAATTAACTTACTGGTGGCAAAATAGAATACGCACATTTTACGCGGTTTATGCCTTCAGAGTAAGAAACAAATCAACGAATCCGAGTGAGGGAAATAACGGTTATGCCATTAGACAGGCCTACCTTAAGGCGAAACGATAAGGTCACTTGTTTCAGTTGTAGACCTCTCTGCTTTTGTCATGTAAATGCACCTAGTTAGCATTAGAACAACTTGATTTACATAACAAAAGCAGTGAGGTCTGTATCAAAACAAGGTCAACTCCAGCCTCGCTGCCATTCAAAGGCCAGGACAACTGTAAAATGGTCTGGAAAGCGTTGTTGCACGTATTACCAACCATGTTGTAAGTTGCTGCAACATGTTGCGCAAAGTTTAACCCGTGTCTACCAAGTGCAACAACACGTTACCACAAATTACAACACAGGTGGTAGTATATAAATACGCGCAGCAGTTTGCGACATGTTGGAATAAATAATTTCCCCTGTAACTCCGCCTTAATGCTCATTTCAGTAATTCCTAATGAAGGTTTTTTTCATAGTAAATGGTTTTAACCTAGGAGTGTCAATAATCGTGTAGTGGATCGTCCGGGTGAGGGAAGTTCCGAAAAGATCTGTTCATTACACCGGAAAAATTTGAAAAGGCAGCTTTATTTCTACGGTTAGGCTTACCTTCCTCACTAATCCGTCACGAAAACGGAGCTTTTCGAAAACGCTCTTCAGATGGGAGGAATTTGAAAACGCCTGCTTTACGTTTTAGCGTGGACGGAAAACATTTGATGCGTTTTCGAAGTGAAAACGCCGTTTCCAAATTTCTCCGGCATTGCGGCGGGGAGCCTTCGGCCCCGCCAACACTACGCCGGAGAAATTTGAAAAAGCAGCCATCACCGGCGACAGAAAAACTTGGGTGCACTCTTGAGGGTTAATCACATGATTATCAAGACGTAGTTGTTTTTGAAAACCTCCGTTTTTAAAATGTTTTCCGTCCACAATAAAACGTAACTTAAGCCGGCGTTTTCAAATTCCTCATCTGCATTGAAGAGCGTTTTTGAAAAGCTCCGTTTTCGTGACGGATTATTGTGGACGACAGGCCTAACCGCGGACTGAAATGAAGCTGCATTTTCAAATTTCTTCGACGTAGTGTGGATGCGGCCTTTAAATAGTGAGTTGTATTTCCGGATCGAGAGTTCCGCTTCGAGCCCTTTGTATTCTTGGGCGAGACAATTCAATTTTACAGTGCCTCTCTCCACCCAGTACAAGGGGTTTCAATAACATTAGTTATAAGCGGTCACTGAAGGTGTAATAGGCGGCTGTGACCACTAAAGGGGCCGTGAGGCCCCTTTCCCCAAGGGGAGTCTGGGGGCATCGCCCCCCCTGAAAAAATTTGAAATCTAGAAGCTCGGAAATGCGATTTCCAGCGCTCTGGGCATCAAAAAGCGTGCTGTTGATGGGTATTTTTATTGACCACAAAGCAGGACTTTTTTTTTTTACAAACTATTAATTTTTTGATGCAAAGAGGTGCATTTTGAATACCTTTCTAGGCAGATATCTCTCAGTGACACTTGATATCCACAGAAAGTTATGGTAAAAACTAACTTAAAACAATGTGTCGAAAGCTGTTTATTTTACGGATTCGAACGAAACTACAATTCAGCAATAATCGGATTATTTTTTACATAACGGTAATCAATCCAAAGAAATGATAACATTATTCCTACCGGTTGACGGCGACTGGTTCCCGTTAGAGTTTGTCCCAGGGTCTGCTTTGTCATGATGTCGAGGCTTCAGGTTTTTAGTGTATCGCTGGACGTTGAAATTATCGCTTCAGTTTTTTGGCCTTGGGTCTGTTTTGCCCGCTTTTTTGTAGTATTTAAAAATTTCAGTGGTCGTCGTCGTTGTATTTCCTTTTTTTTTTTTTAATTAATATCATTTTTATTTTCATTAATGAAATCCAAACAGACGGCGGTAAGTGGTCCTACAGGCGGCGGTAGACCGCCGGTAACCGGCTTTTATTGAAACCCCTGTCAGTAGCATGAAGGAGTAATGGTGAAATGTAAAGAAAACCCGTAACAAGACACTGTTAGCACCCTATTCACGAGCAGTACCAGAACCCCATAGTTGCTTAAAGCCACAAAAGTCCGATGGGTCACCTTGGCTCCTCTAATCTTCAGGGCTGAAGTATTACCGTCATGACAATTTTCGGTAATTTATAAGGTTTGTTTTTGTTTTCTTGCAGTCATAAGCGCTTCATTCGTGGCAGGACTTGTGTTGTTTCTGTTGCTTGCTGTACCTCTCACAAACCCAGCTTGGTATAATTCTGTATATTATCAACATCAAGTCATGTGAAGTAATAGCTCCTCAGCGATTCATTTGCCAAGAGAGTCAAGCCACAGACCTACGAGCGATGCATCAATTGAAATCAAAAATATTCACCTTTTAGGAATCTTATAGATATAATAATTCTCCTTAGGGTTGTCGAAAAAAAAAAATACGGACCTCACCTACATAAATGTCTCAGCCTGTCTTAAAGAAGGGAAAGGAATTGTCCGGTCAGTCAATAAATGTTATTTTTTGTGCTAATACTTGGATAAATTTTTGAATAAATATTTTTTTTGTCAGGTGAAATATTTAAAAGGACAAAATAAAGTGACATACTAGACACTTTCCCACGCACAAACGGATAAACTGGTCTTGCTATTTGTGAGAATTAATTAAGAGGTAATTATTTTGACACTAGAAATATTTAATAAATCAGACAATCGAGTATCTATTTTTGTTTTGTTGTTGCTTGAGTGAATAAGTTAAAATGAGATCTCTGGGGTAAATATGGAGTTATTTTGCTCGTTTTTTCTGGGATTTTACTTGGAAATCCTAACGATATTATGACTGAGATATCTGGTAGTGGCTCTGGAATAACCAAGAGTTGCGCGGTATTTCGGCGAGTCCTGATACGGGGGAAAATTAAACTACGCCGCGACGTCATGCGATAAGACGCCTAAAACCTTAACTTAACTCTTCTTAACCAGAAATCCAGTTTTTACCGCGTGCTTGTTTACTCTGAGTCGCGAAGCTTGGGGAACTAAGACAAGTGTAAACAACTAATAATAGACCAATTCCGATGTATTAAAATTCTAACTTGGCTCCGAGGCTTAGGGGAATAAAACAAAAGAAATTAATTATTCATCCCTTATCCTCGATGCGATTTCTTTTGTTCTATTCCCCTAAGCCTCGGAGCCAAGTTAGAATTTTAATATATCGGAACTGTCCTATTGTATTTGTTCCAGTTGAGTTGGATAATGAGCGCACTTTCGCCCTAAGGCTGGCTGGTTCCGGCTACACTTCTGTTACGCACAGCTGCCAGACGGCTTGAGTGTAGAGGATATTGAAATTTTAGGCAGTGTTTGTAAATAGTATTCGGCAGAGGCAAGTGTGATGAGAACTTCACGGCACGCGCAGTAATTTTGACCCGCCCTGTGTGCTAGGTCGTACATGTAACACTCGCGGCATTCATCGTACGTTTAACATTTTATTTTGTTGATTGAACACACACTTCTACGAACAGAATTGGCTACCCACGAAGCATCTAGCCTCGTAAATGTTTTGAGCAGCGGAAGAAACATTTACACCGTTTCACTGAGAAAGTCGACAAATTGTGTTAATTATAACCATGTCCTTGACCCTAAACTCATATTCAGAGGACTTTAACTGTTTCCTCAATTAGGAGATGTCAGCTGTGCTTTCAGAAAGTCGTGGCGTGGACTGAGAATGATGCACAGGTATAGCGTGGGAGAACGACTTTGCGACCTCCAGTACACCAACTCGAAATTCTGAAAAGCGTGCGCGAATATATACTTAACAATGTATGAAGTATCTTGTCTCGAGATGGTCGAAATATTAAGCACAAAAACGCGAGGTTTCACCCGCTGTATAAACGAAGGTGGTATCACAATAGAGTTCTCGTCGCGTACGTTTGAACGACAGGAAATCGCTTGACTGGTGTTCCTTATTGGTTAAACCTCTGATTTAACCGTAAAAATCAAAGTCATCATCATCTTGGTCCATGCCTCCAGTGCTCAGCTGTAAATCCACTTCGGATTCAGTGTCTGAAGTATTCCAAAAATCTATGAACGATAAAGAAATCATCAGTGACATGTTTTGATAATTTTTTTTTGGACCATCAAGATTTAACATCACTAAGCAAAGAAAGCAGTCTTATTCTTGAAGAATGAACAAGGATGCCTTAAAACGCTTCGGTGTGTTTCCTACACTAACTAAAACTGAGGCACAGAAACACAATATAAGGCCAAATGGCACAATGCTCGTTCAGTTTGGAATTGTCGCTCATCCAGTGATTTCTAGAGTAGACAAAAAATAGATTTGTCTCCCTTTAAAAAAAACCCGGAAATCCCGGTTGGGATATGAATCGAACTAAATTTTTTTTTCCCGGAAATGTTTTGTACCTGACAAACAACAGTATCCTTATTAAGTCTGCCAGGATCGCGACTGAAACGTTCTTTACCTGTTTTACGCTTAGCTTTGGAGTCACTGGCGGATTTGGGCTCGCTTTTGTCGTTCTCCTTGTCTAGTTTGTTCCTCTGTTCACTGTTTTCGAGAGCAGTTGGTGTATATCCAACACCAAAATCCGGTGATAACGGAGGCGACACCACTGATTCGGAATCTGAAATGTCAGATTTGACTGATTTCAGCGACGAACCTCCCCAGCTATCGCCCAAGTCTTTTTCAGCGTTTTTCCCCTCTGTCCCAGTTTCAAACAGAGAGAGCTTCGGTTTCTGTTTGACGCTTTTCAAATTGTTTGGTGATCTCTGACGGGGGGACGTCACGGGTGGGGAGATGGTTCGTGCCAGTTCCCTCTCAACGTCGTCGTCATCCTCGCTGTCCTGTTTCTGCGGTCCAGACGTTCCCAGGAGATCACTGATGTCGTCGTCCGGCTCTGAGTGGGCGCTGCTCATCATTTTCTGGTACGCAGCAGTTTCAGTCAGCGGCACTTCGTCCTCAAAATCATCCTCGTATGAAACCGTAGGATCAGGTGTCGCTTTGCGGTTTTCTTCGTTGGATTTACTACAAAATAATAATAAAAAAAACGTTAGAGTTAACAATCGTGTCGTCGATTTCGGTGCAATCTCAGTGTAATGAATGCGGATCTAAGTAAGCTCCAGATTAACAGGGGATCTCATTCAGAGTCGGGGACCGCGCAAATCGACTGACTGAGGATGATTTTACTTGCCTGTTTTGACCATCTAGAGGAAAGTTTTCTTATAAAGAAGTTCAATTCAAAAAGTTTTGCCTGCCTGTGAAAACCAGTTGTTCTCCTGCTGAAACCATTACTGAATGACACCCCTGGATACACGGGGAATGAACGCGTATGCGTAACAAGCATGCACGTCACTTACTTTAACTCAACTTTAGGCGGAGTTGAACCCAGTGTACTACTAGAACCACCACTACCAATTGACACTTTATCATGTTCTTGATCGTTTGCAGCCTCAGTTTCAAACCGAGTCTCAAGATCCAAATCGTGATCTTTAGGGGATGGAGGAGGAGAAGCGGAGTGACTGCTGACATCTGAGATTGCAGCTTCAAGGATTCTGCACAGTAGCAATTGACTCTGCGGAAAGAAAAACGTAAATATTGAATTAAGAGAAAATTGTTTAGAAATGAAATATACTTGATTCAGTGCTTGGTTACATTTTCCAAGATTGGCGGTATTTACCAAGGCAGAAGAATTTTGCGTCTTAGATGACTTATGAAGGACTTAGCGTATTTGATATTTGAAAACAAACAAAAAAAAATTACTTGCTGTCAGACAAATACCCGAATTAGCTCATTTCTAAATTTTAGGTTTCCCTTCAACCAAACTGTCAACTGCGAATTCTTCCTTTATCTTTCTGTCATACAATTAGACATAACTGGGCTGGAGGCTACCTCGAAAACCTAACGGTACATTTACACAGCTTCCAGTCTCATTCAAACAAGATAACAAACAATTACCTAATCTAAAACATACTACCTATATTAAATCAACTAAAAAATGTCAATATTCATATCTATGATGAGAAAACTAAAGATAATGTTGTTGTTGTTAAGCGTCTTAGGCGTTTTATGCGCCTAGACATGGACGGAAAATAAAACAAACGCAATGTTCAGTTTCAGACCCATCATTCGTCAGGTAAATATGAGACGCATAATAGAGACGAATTTGTAATCAAGCGACCAAAAATCTCTCTGATCATAACAGCTTTCTTGTCAACCAGACTAGTTCTACGCGTCTCGTAGTATTCACCCCCATGTCCGACAAATTATACGTCTTCCCAGGTAAATATGCGTTACTCTTTTAATTTGTCTCGTGTCGAGTACTAGATCATCCACAGTTGTCTAGAAGCCAAGATCAACAGCCCGCACGTATCTTGTTATACTCTTAGTTTAGTTATTCTTTAGTCTAAGTGGTTTAGCTCTTAACCGCAGCTTCACGGAAGAAAGTTCATATTGACCTTGACTGGGATTTCCGCAATAACTTAAACTTATGCTTTGATTCTTTGTTTTTAGATTCGTTCCTTGAAATGTTATTTATCACGTTCATATTATCCAGCTAAAAATACTTTTTGAAGGAATTTCTGGGGGATTTGTTCCTTCCTGAGAAACGCTTAGCCTGCGAGGCAGGCGTTCAAAGGGAGAGGGGAGGGGAAAAAACTAGAAGGGCGAAGTGCTGAACACGATGGACGCCCGCCACGCAGGCTAAGTTAAGCTCTTAGGATCCAAAAACCCAAACATGCCTACAGTGTAAACATTCACATACAACGAGGTGCATTTAGCTCTGCAGTCTAGCACAGAAGTGGGAAGTGCAAAGTAGAAAGTAAAGGAAGGAATCTCTCGTAGTCTCTGTTAACTCCGCTGCCGAGCGAGTGCAGCATTCTAACAAGATATTCTCGTTACGCTGCGTTTCACAAAGCCACGTCTTCTGTTGGCTTCGTGCTCCAAGGAGGCGGCTGAAATTTCGGCTAAGTTTCACAATCCTGCAGGGAGAACTCAGGAAATGTTTGTTTTTCCGATTAGTTTCTGTAGAAGACGGAAAATAAGATATAAAAACGTTCATTTCAATCAGACTAAAAAACCGACGAACTTCTTGGAGTCTGCTGTCAGCATGGGGCAGGCTACTAAAAGATTTGTCTAAACTGCAAACAGCGACTATATTTGCTAGAAGGCTACAAAAATATTGTTCTTTTGGCTTTAAAAACACAGTAAGGAAGCAGGTCGTCTCTAACTTGTCTAAAGCCATTAGTCTGGGTTCATTATAGAAATACGTTTTACATTATTTTAAGTGCGTGAAATTCTCTTCTCGATTGTTCGCGAGTTTGTTAAAGTGACGTTCCCAGTTGCTGCAGACAATAGTTGCAGCTTGCGGCCGAGGTATCAGAATAAACTGACGTCGGTCTGTAAAACTCGCCACAACTCAACAAGTTTGCTGTGGTTTCCCAAACTTCGTTTTGGCAACAAGGTGGGTGGAATTTTTGGTCTAGAGGTTACTTTTGGTATTAACAACGCTGCTCACAAAGTTAAACTGAGAAACACACTTCTTAGCATTTCAAGAATTCTTTTGTTTAACATCGGCAATAATAGAGCGGTTTTTTTAATTGAGTGTCGTAAAACCAACACCAAACTAATAACTTACCAATAAGCCTAGTCAACCAATCTCAAACCGTAGTAAAACCGAAACCAAAGTAAAGTAAAGTAAAGTAAAGTAGCTGCTGGTTACTTTCGACACTCAACTGAAAACCGCTGTAACACGAAGATGAAAACTAAGAACTCTTGCGATAAATAGAATACATTGGGAAGCCGTCTAGAGAAGATTAGGGCAAAATGGTTGTATTTTCTCTATTAACTTCATCTTAACTTCTCAATTAACAAACCATCAGGAATTCGACTCTCTTTATTATTATTACCAGCAGCAATTCTAACTTCATTTACTTACTCATAAAAACTGAATTTAATCCACATGTGACGAGACAGAATGTTTTGTTCAACAAACTATCACAGCAGGATGCAAATATAAAAGTATTGAACCCTCTGGACTTGCATTACTCTATTATTTCACTCGATTATAATTGAATTTTCATGTTTCCTATCTAATATTATTATCCAATTCTACTCGAATTATCCCATAATATTTGTACTTAACGTGAAGGGTAACCGAGTATGTAGTAATCCTGTGCCTTTTGAACGCACAAAAGCGCAAATTAGTGACTTCAGGTGGAAAGAACTTTGAAAAATAAATCCTTTATTGTCTTGTTTAGTCTGTAGTATCACTGTATATTTTTACTTGTTAGTTGTATTTGACTCGCCCTGTGGGCTGGCCAAAATATACTGGAGGACTTGTGCCAACAGTGCAGCGTGCTTATTCGCGTTTCCCGAAGGACATTCGCACATAAACGTCCGTCTACCCCTCTCATGTATAAGAGATGGGCGTGAACGTCGGAAAATTGAAAGGAACCCGTAAAAGGATACTATAATTTCGTTATGAAGGTAAGGCTCAAATTCATTTTCATCCCTAGAGGCATAAATTCGAAAACAAAACCACGGATTTTAACCCCAAAAGAAACGTCGATCACCCTCGGCACTTTGGTACGAGAGACCACTTCTAGAACATCACCTTACCCTATAGGTGGATACAGGTTTGCATCTGAAGCCTACAGCACAACAAGCTTTACTCTATCAGAGTTAGGCCAGACGTGAATTACATCAGTTAGCGGCCTTCTGTGTTTCGCAATTAAGACGCACTTAGACACAGCAAAACTCGACGTAATCCTCTATTTGGCGCTGGCGGGAGTCACAGCAGAAAGATTATCTTGCCAAAGCGACTTCCATACTCGTAGATAAGCAGAGCTTTATGTTAAATTCATGTTGTCTAGCGTAATTCACCATGAATCCACTTATTCATATATCTCAAGTCCTAGCTATGAGCGGGCGGGCGAAATGAGACCACCTTGCTTGCTCGAGATTAAGCGTTGTTTTCTTTACGCCAGACAATAAATCCTTTATCAACCAAGTACATTCGATCAAGATGGCACGATGTTGTCCTTTTTTTCCTGTGTTTATGGACCTTGATTGCGTGTCAGTCCATAAACAAGCGACAAAACAAACTTGGCTAATATCCAGCCATTTGTAAGAAAAAGCTTGGACCATAACCCAAGTATAGATGGGCTTATTGGTACCATGTGGTAAGGTTTGACTAAAAGCTTTAGATTACAATCTAAATTCAATTGTAAAATTCAGAGATAATTAATTTGCATGACAAGGTTAAAATANCTCGAATTTCGTCAAAAATACTCCGCTGCGCGTCGTTTTTTCAACTCTCTTCTCGGTGTTTGGATAACCCGTTGAAACACTGTCTCTCGTGTTTGATATATTACATGGTGTGGTGAGCTAGAGAGTATCTCCTCTTGATAATGTTTCAAACAGCGCAATTCCGGGAATACCGAGAGAAATACTGCTAGTTATTTGTTATTTGGCCTTTGTTGTGGAACGAATTGAAGAATGACTGAGATATAACCAAAATATGTTAATTGTTTGTTCCAACCTAATGAGAAGCTATGAAAAATAAACACTGTAGTTTTTATATGCATTGTAATCTTGAACTAACAAAGAAACACAAGGGAATTCCCGTTAAATTAGTAGTCACAAATCGGATGATAATTCGTCATTATTTCAGGAATAATCTCCAAGATCTCGAGCATTCCACTGGAAAAAAAAAAACGAAAGACAACCGGATATCTATCGATTGTTTTCGAATGTATCAAATAGACAGAAAAAAAAAGTGGGCTACAAGTCACGAAACAAGTTACATTTCTGGAGAAAATCTTTTTGCCGCTACATTTTCATTGGAGTTAAAAAAAATTAATGAAAAAGAACGCGTCTATGTTCTAAGCCGGCAGTTAACCTTGGCCCCCGTGAAGCATTCAACAGTTCGTCGAGTATTTTCTTTGGCACATTTAATATTTATAGAACCTTTTGAAAGTGTTAGCACAGCTAGACTTCAGTCTTTTCTGAGGAGTAGAATACTTTTCTTGGCAAGTTTCAGATCAGAATGCTTCACTCTCACTTCCTGTTCAATTACCCTGTTCCCCAGGTTGTTTTCTCACGTCTGAGCTAGCTGCAATCATCATTTACTACAAAAACAAACAGAAGCCCTTTCGTACAAGAATTTGACCTCCCAAAAAGACGTTTGTCCAGAAATAATGCGTCAACCAATCACTCAGTAACATCTGCTCACAGCAAAAGATTATTAAGCCTGTTTTCAAGCGGATCAAAACATCCTATATCTCAGGGGTTGCCTTTCAGTGCGAGCTGTGTCATACGTTCTAAGGTGAAGAACGGAATTTGAACCTCACTGAGTACCAGTATCGACACACTAAACTGATTTAATCTTGTACTGTTGACTGTGCTATCATCATCCACCCACCAATGGCATAAGAGCGTGCTGTACGTGCAATAAACTCTCAAGTAACGGTAATCTCACGCGATCTGATAAGAGACTCATCACGCTAAGCTGGCCTCGTCGATTACAAAGAGAATAAAAATAAAAGTGGCTGATAACAAGATTAAAACGTGTTCGCTGCTATTAAAAGGTGATCTTGTTGACGAACCCGACGAAAATGATGTTGGTTTCGTAGTAGACATAGGAAGGCAGTAATTGACGGCGTCTCCTTCCACGCGTCTCACAGCGCGTGTTCTATTTTTGTAATTTACGCGTCGTCAGCGGCAAAATATTTTAATTGAGGGCATGACACACAGTTGAAAAGCAGATAATGGGTTGAATACTAGTATCGCTTACAAAATTACAGGACAATTATAGCAATGGAACCTTCCAAACGTCAAAATAAGGATACCAATACTCATACCCAAGAGGCTTTCAATAAGTCACAATACATAATTAGGAGCCCCTGGCAAATTTAAACACTCCATGTAACCGAGAGATGTAACCGAAAGATGCGATGGAGAGGTTTGGAGCTTTCTGGAACACTTGCTTTCGAAAACCAAGACCATGCAGACCGGGATGTGTATATAAGAAACATAAATAAACATAAATAAACAGAGCAAAATGCCATGCTAATACAGATCAAGCTAAAAGGATTCCTGGGTCGATTAACCTCCTTGTCTAGACCTCCCTGACTGATCATCCATTGTACCGAGCATATGTGTAGATGGTAAAAAGACAACCAAAGATACAGCCAAATCAAAAGCACGGCACCACGAAAAAGACAAACTCGCCCCCATTGCATCTTATTGAATAAGAATAGCAACTATCGTGATATACCTCGTTCTTCAAAGCACACCGGCACATGTAAATAAAGTGGTCGGGTATTCTGAAGTTGCTACCAGTTTTTTTTTTTTTTTTTTTTTT